CAGAGCGGTAATTGGGCTCCCCTCCCCCCAAATCCTTCGTGCTACTGAGTTAACTAGTGAAGGGACGGAGCGTTTCAGCTGTTCTGCCTTGGTGAGGCCCCGTCTGGAATGTTGTGTCCAGTTCTGCGCCCCTCAGTTCCAGAAGGACAGAGAACTGCTTGGGAGGGCCCACCACAGAGCCACAAAGATGATGAAGGAAGTGGAACATCTCCCTTATGAGGAAAGGCTGAGGGAGCTGGGTCTCTTTAGCTTGGAGAAGACTGAGGGGTGACCTCATCAATGTTTACAAATATGTTAAGGCAGAGTGTCAGTAGGACGGAGCCAGGGTTTTTTCAGTGATGTCCAGTGATGGGACAAGGGGCAGTGGGTGCAAACTGGAGCATAGGAGGTTTCATGTGAATATCAGGAAGAACTTCTTTCCCATGAGAGTGACAGAGCACTGGGACAGGCTGCCCAGAGAGGCTGTGGAGTCTCAGTCTCTGGTGACATTCAAAACCCACCTGGACACGTTCCTGTGTGATGTGCTCTGGGTGACCCTGCTCTGGCAGGGGGGTTGGACTGGATGATCTTTCGAGGTCCCTTCCAACCCCTAGGGTTCTGTGATTCTGTGAAACATAGAATCACAGAATGGTTTAGGTTGAAAGGGACCTTGAAAATAATCAAATAACTACCCCCCACTAGACCAGGTTGCTCCAAGACCTATCCAGCTTGCCCATGTGTTCTCAAAGCTGGAAAGAATTTCAGATGTGGAGCCTCTGAGCTGAGAGTTTTAAAACTACCTTGAAGCACCTGAGTATGTGGTGTCAGCTCAGAGCTGCAGATGTGTGGCCTTTGGTGAGAACTTGCCAGGAGGTGCTGAGTTCATTGGGCATCTGATCCTGAAAACTGGATCTTAACTTTATTATTTGACTTTAGTATAGAATAAAACTTTAGGAAGTTGCACTGATCTACAGCAGGGTGAGTTCTCATTTCTGCTTTCTCAGGGTTTTGTTATGGCAGTGACAAGTACAAATTCTGTACAAGTACAAACATTTGACAAGTACAAATTCTGTACTTGTAACCAAAACAGTACAGTAGTGGTCAGCAGTGACTGGAGAATTGTTGGTTCAGAATACTTTCAGATCAACTTCTGTGTTTAAGGGAAAAGTACATGTTTATATTCATAAACTAGCTAAAAATTTATTTGCTTTCTTAGAAACAAAATCAAGAGGCTGATGCCAAAGAAGGACCAACTGTTCATTGTGTTGAGGTGTCTTGTAATCCGTCATTAATAGAACCTACATGTTCCAGCTCTGAGATACAAGGAACTGCAAAAATGAGGAAAAATGACACTGCTTCCAGACATTTGGTGGGTGATTAATTTTTAATTTACATGTAATACTTGTAAGCATGTGTTGGAAATGAAAAAGCTCAGTGTTTTTTATCCTGAAAGTAAACCGTGACAATCAAAAGTTGTGTACTCAAAATACCTGTTGTTTTATTGGTTGGCATTGTTTGTCATATAAGTATATAAATATATTTCTGTTATATGTTTATGTTTTTGAGAATTAGGCTGCAATAGTTGGTTCTCCAGAATATACAAAAATTGCTATTTCTGAAGTAATGTTTTGAACTTAGAATCTTGTTGCAGAGTTCAGTACTACAGAACAAGGTCCAGTTCTGGTCTCTATCAGTAACTGTGCTCTAAATATCTGTGAAGGGCAAGGGGTATGACTGTTCTTCAGCCAGCCTAAGAGCCTCTGGAATTTATATCTAAAGTGGATATAAGGAGGTGTCAGCCTTTACATTCTTGGGATGGATACTTTCTTAGTGACTAGAGATTCAAACAGATAGTATTAATTTCAGTACCTAAATATGTATCAAACATGACTTTGGTGTATTTAATTTATTTAGAGTGTGATTGCTTTCTGGAGAAAGGAATTGAGAGAATGCAAGCAAGACTGTGCTGTTTTTTTGACAAACAGGCATTTGTTTGTTAAACCTCCTCTTATTTTTCTGTGTGGAAACTCTACAGCAAGATGCTGATAAAGCTCTTCTGTGAAACTTTCAGTCTGTAGCCTTTTCTGTATTTATTACAAAGGTCTATGAAGGATTCTTTTTTTTAACTGAATGAAGATTTTTATAGATGATGTTGTCCTGAGTGAGTAGGAACTAAGGCAGTTTCAGGCAGTGGGCACCATCTATAAGGTGAGTGGTAACTCAGGCTGTGTTTGAAGGACATAAGTGTGTATAAACTTATGTTCTAGTTTTTATCTCTCTTTTGTAACTGGGGAAAGGAACTAAGTAAATATTGTTGCAGGTTCCTCCATCTGATGATGATGAAAATGAACAGTCAAAATCTATTCAAAGAAAGAGAGTGCTTCCATCTTGGATGCTGGAAAGAGATCTCCTGGTTCAGGGGATTTCTGAGCCTGTGATGAAAGGAGGTATGTTTGCAGTGTAGTACATTTGTATATCAATACACGTGTCCTTAGATATCATGTGCTGAAATTCTGATGGTGTTGACAGTGGTCCTACAGAACAGCCAACTGATTTTTTTTTTAATATATATTTTTTTGTCTTTTTATGTTATTTTAAAATGCCAGGTAATGCTGTTTCTGGAGAGCTGAACATCTGATGTTCTGGAGACCTTTCAAAACTTGTTTGTGTTGTCTGTTTTATTTTCCTATGTAAATTCTGGGTAGTTTTTATGCCTTTAATTCCAAGGCAACTCCACATTTAAGTTAGTAATGTATTGCCCTCCTAAGATTAGATTCTTCTAATTTCACAGGCTTTCAAGGTGGGTTTTTGGGGGCAGTGGTGTGTGTTAGTTTTTTTAGCTGCAACTGGATCCAATTTGATAACTTAGTCCAAAATTTCTTCCTACGAGGAGCAGTTCATCACAGTATAGCAGTTTCTTACCAGTATGATGCTATAATAATACTGCATTCCTTCTCATCCTTCCTGCAAAAGGAAACTGCTGAATGTGTGATTAACTTCTCCAGCATATCAGTGGTAGCAGCAGCAGAATACTGTATTTAGTTGCTGTCAATGGGAGACACAAGGGACAAGGCTTTGGCACAATCCCAAGAAAACTTTCTAGGGTGTCTGGCTGTGGTCCTGGGAGTTTGTAAGGACTTCTAAAACTGCCATTAGGTCTCTGACAAACGTGTTGAAAGGCATTTATTGCTCTGAGGACTTTTATTGATGTAACTTGAGGACTAAAGAAATGAGAGCTGAGGAGGGCAACGGCTACCTGCAAGAACACCAGGCTACCCCAGCCTTTCTCTCTTTCTCTCTGCTGAGGACAGCCTGCCCCAACCTGCTTTCTGTTCAGTGGTGAGGTGTGAGGTGGTGTAGGTGCTAACTGCTGAGTTCCTTTTGTTAGTCTATTTAAGTGTCCAAACTGTGGCTGGTGTCTGTTCCTCTGTATCCAACAGCTATTCTTTAATTCCTCTGTTGCTACCTGCTGTTTTTGCTGAGGTGGTGTAGTGGAAAAAATTTGGCTCTTGGTGCCCAAGCAGGCCTGCAGAAGTGTTTCATGTAGTGTCTGACCAATGGCTTCTTATCTCCTGTAGTGAATGCAGGTGTCTGCATGGATTGACTGACCTGAATAGCTACAGCTTTAAACGCCTCAGTTGCATGCCATTGGTTACCCTGCCTATTCCTTTCCTCAAAAGCTAGTTTTGAGAACATTGTATGAAGCAAAATTAACCTTATATTTGTATTTTTCTCCCCTTTCCCATCAAAATCTAGACTGTTCTCTACTGGCTTATTTCCTCTGATGTAAAAATAGCATCTTCCAGAGGACTTCTGCTGGCTGTGTTGAATCTTGCACTAGTATGATCGTTTTCTTTTGTTTGAGTTTGTTGGTTTTTTTTTTTGTTGTGTGTTAGGGTGTTTTATTTGTTGGTTTTTTTTTGTTTGTTTGTTTTCTCCAGAACTACTGTAATGTTTGTTGTATAAGTGTATATATAATTTGTTTCAAAGACTGGATGTTTCTATCATGTAGGTGTTGAGACTGGGAACTATGTGGGCAAGAGGGATCTGTGTGTTGTTGAAGGTCTGACCTTGAGGGAGCTGGAGATAGGTAGGAGCACTGGTGGAGCAAGTTAAAAGTCTTCATGTGAGAGAGTGATTCCAGCTTAGAATGAGCTGCTTTGATAAAGCTATCCATCTCTTCTGCAAATGTAAAATATTTTCTTAAAATTGTGAAATGGTTTGCATCTTTTTAGGATGATATTGGATGGGAAAGCAGAAAGGTAGTGAGTAAAACTGAAAGGCTGCCCTTTTATTTTTTTTCTGCCTGTCTTCCTGCTGGCAAGGGAATGCTGATTTGTGGTTTTAAAGTCAGACATTTGGAAAAATTTCTTGCTTTGTATGAATGACTCTGGTATGTTGGTATTTTTTCAGGGGGCAGAGTTTTTGAAGTCTTGCGAAGTCTTGCAGAAGTATCTTCCTTCTGAATGTGTTTTGCAGCTGACGGAGCTATAACAAAACCAGGACACTGGCCCTACCTCACTCCCAGCTGTATATTCAGAAAATACTAATTCAGTACAGAGAAATTTCAATTTTCTGGCACATGAAGCTTTCCAAAGAGAAGCACAGTGTTTGCTGTCCCTCTATCAGTTACTGGCTGATTAAATAATTGTCTGTGATGTGGTTGACTAGGCAAGTGGGCATACCCTGATTTTGCTATGTCCTAAATGTTTGTGTATAAGCTGGTGATCTGAACTGATATTTGCAGGAAAGTTCTGTGGTAAAAGTCATCCTTGGACATGTGATTTACTTGATCAGCTTCTATTATGTAAGTGAAATTGTCAGTTACACTGGTACAGTCAGTCCTGAATATCCTTTCCCACATATTTATTGTTTTTTTTTCAATTTTCCTCCTCAAACATCTGTTTCATTATTCCTTTAAGTGGGAAGAAAAAAATGTCTTGTTGAAAAAGCACATGCCCAACTACTGCTATTTCTCATGCTTTTTGCCTAGTGTTCTGCTTTAATATAGCTTTAGAATTATTTTGTGGTTAATGATTTCACTGTAAAAGTTACATTCTGGAAGTACTCTTTTGTTTTTATTTTAAGGTAGTAGAATGAAAAAAGGCCAAGGAAGTGGAGAAAGTAATATGGAGTCATTAAAATCAGAAGTAAGTGTGCAGCAGAAAAAAAGATTAGCTTCTGAAGAAACTGTAGAGGATTTCGAAGGTGAAGAGCAAGATCAAGGGAAAAGGAGCTGCCTTTCCATCTCTGTCCCTTCATCTCAGGTAATTTTTTGGCTCAGGGCAGAACCATGGTATTTAAAAATAGGAGAATGTAGTTGGCAATGTCATGTTGAAGGTTGGGTCTACAGCATAACTATGTGTTTTGCCTGTGATTTGCTCTGTAACAGTTATTTTGAAATGCCAGGCAACTGGGCAGCTCTATAGCAAGGGTCCTAGAAGCCTTCAGAGACCTGGTTTTCTGTGCTTCCTTCTCAGGATCTGGGACTTAGGCCCTGAATGTTCCATAGAAATACCAGGCTTCCAGCTTTACAGCAAGAGGCTGGAAAACAATGGCCAAAGTACTGGTCCTAGGCATAGCTTGATATGTTCTGAGAACACTTTAGAGATAGGTGATGGTAGGATGCTGGTGTAATGCAACACTGGGCTTTGCCCAAACTAGTCATTCTACTTGGTGAAGTTTTATGGTCAGAAAATTATGGGATGTGGCTTAGCAACCATTGTGTTTTCAAGAAAAGTAGCAAGGAGTGTGCTTATGCCACCATCTCAAAATCTAAGCCAAAAAAAAAAGGAGAAAGAAAAAAATAATCTGAAATCCAGAATGGTCTGTCGGCATGGGGAGGTTGGAACTGGATGATCTTTTTGGGCCCCTTCCAGCCCAAACCATTCTGTGATTCTATGAATGAGTGAACAGACACCTCAGTCCAGCTGGTCAGTGTCTGAGTGTCATCCAAGAACAGCTGCATTTATAGGCAGTTAAATCTTTACTGATAGCACCCTACTACTAACGATAAGAGAAGGATCATTAACAAAGTCAAACAAAACATATGCTGAGAGAAAATCAAGACTTTCACTGACTTTTTCTTGGGGGAGGTGTTTCTAATCTCTAGCATTATAATTGTCTGTATCTCTTCTAGGATCTGATAAAATACTTGAAATACTAGTATTTTATATGCTTCCTTGGTTTTGACATGGAAAGCTATGGGGGGTTGTTTTGTAATTAAATGTTAAGGTTAATTGAAATAATCTACTAATGGGGAGCATACCCTCAGGGTAGTTTTGGTATCACTTAGTGGTATCTTTGAATCTGAGAAAATGTTCTGAGTGTTGAGCTCTGTTTATTGGCTAGGTACATTAATACCAGCTGCTGTTTTCTCTTTGTCAAATTATAAGGTGAGTGACTACGTAATTAATTATTTCTTTTTGCTTTATACTTACAAATATGAAGCCTTACTTTCTCTTAGGAATTTCATAATGCATTTTTATCTCAAGTGTGGTGTAAGAAATTGCCTGCAGAGCTTTGCAGGAAAAAAAAAAAGTGGGTTAATGCAGCAAAAGTAGTAGTCAGAGAGAGCTCTAAAAGATCAGAATTTTGATATCCAAACCAAAATAATGCACCTGTTGTCATATTTAAGGACATGAAGAAAACCTGCTATAGGGCAGGAAGTAAAAAGAATCTTAATCCTTCTAAGCTGCTGTCAGATGTCAGTGAGGTCATATGCAAGTTATAACTGGTGCTAATACTGCTGTTGTCTCTGGTTTTCCTTGATTGCAACCTGTTTTTTAACTAGTCATTATAATAAATGTGGAAGTGTTAAATCTCATTATATACAATATGGATTGAAATACGTAGTAGAGAAGTCACAAGTGGGAGTGGCAAATGAGAGTAATTTACTCCTTCTTTTTCAAATGAAGGCTTATTTCCTAAGCTGTTTGCTCAGCCTTATTTTGGGAGTCTTGATAAAGGAGTCATCTTTGTCTCTGAGCTGACTTACTTAATGCTGTTGCCATTTGATGTTAATGCTGACTTTGCCCTTTATTAATCAAATTGCTGCTCAAATGTAATTGTGTCTGTTTTTGGTGAAGATTTTGTGAGACTTGAATTGAAAGAAACAAAATAAAATAGGAAACCAGCAACTGATTTTCAAGCTCTGCCAAACATATCTGTGTAAACTACATATAAATTTACTGGATGGAGAACGTTGATAATAAACTATAGAGAGTAAGGACCTTGGAACAGTTCTGTAGTGTATTGAGGTATTCCTTCAATATAGGTATGCTTCCAGGTAATGCCTTGGTTGCTGGGACAATGTTCCTCTCTTGGTTATGTATCTCAATTTTTCTTTGTAAAGCACAGATCACTTAAGTGTACATATGTACACATATCTACTTCATCTTTACATGTATAACCCCCATTAATTTTTCAGGAACAGTACTTCTAATTGAAAGTTAATTTAAGCAAAAGTCATTGGACTATTCACAGACTGAGGCCGTGAGAGGGGAGCAGGTCTGTTTTGTGAGGGAACTGAAGCTGAGAACTGAAGCTCTGGGATGTGTGTGTATGTATGTTCTTAACTTGAGCCTTTCATTCAGTGTCTCTATTTAACAGCTAACTTGGGTTTGGAAAGTGCAACAGAAGATAGTAAAGGCTGGACCAAATGATCTTCTGAGGTCCCTCCCAGTGTGGGCTGTTTTATAATTCTCTGATTTTGAAAACCTTAATGATGAGATGAGGCAGAGTTTTACCTTAAAGCTTTTAATTCTAAAGAGTGTAAGTTTTCAGGTCCTTCAAAATGTAACCTTGTTCCACAGAATCCATCTGGATTTCCTCTTGAAAGTACCATGAGAAACATGGAAGGAAATGGCAAGACTGGAACAAAAAACCCTGGAAGTTCTCTGGAAAAAAATGTTAGGGAGCTGCATAGTAAATTATCTAAAGGAATAGGTCAGATCTCCAGTAAAACAAATGTAATTGAGAAAACAGAAAACAAAGAGCAGATTTCTGGTTCTACAAGCCAACAAGCTCACTGGGGCAGGACTTCCCAATGTTTTGGTGCCCAGGAAGGGATTCTTGAGCCTGATGCAAATCTGGATTACAAGACTGAGATTTCTGACTCAACCAGCAGTGCAGATGCTTCAGGAAACTCCAAACAGATCAAGCATAAGAGGACACCTTGCATGTATGGAACAGGCTGTTACAGGTAAAGCAAAGTTAAAACTAGCTTAAGATAGCTTATGTTTAAAAAGTCATGTATTGCCTGTGGAAGAGAGAACAGTAAAGTCATTACAAGCTTTGATTCGAAAAAATCTTTTGGTAAACAGGCGACTGATGAGAAACAAAGATTTTTTAAAGTATAAAAGGAGGAGTCAGGATGTCTTGCTAACTGCTAATATAATGCAAACAGGGGATGAAGTACTTGAGCAAATCAAAAGATGAAACGTTGTAGGAAATGAGAAACAAAGGTCCATTTTAAAAGGAAGCTAATAAAAAACTTGTGTGTACAGTACATGTACCAGCACAGAGAGGAGATATAATTTGTTGAAATGCCCAACATAGACCCTGGAGGTTTGTTTTACTGTCAGATTAAACTTTCATTAAAGATTATTTTATTTATTGAAATTACTGTAAGCTTTGTGATCCAGATATTTGAAGTACGTATTATTTATCATCCCTAAATAATGAAGAATTATTTTTTTATAACTTGGCCAGTTTTTGTGGGGTTTCTGGGTTTGTTTTTTAAGCTTTCAGTCCCCTTCTAAAACCAGAACGAAGTATGCTCACAAACATAATTTTTACCCTTACCTGGTCAGTGTCTTTGGAGATGCTTCAAGGGAAGAATTCCTCCCCGCCCCATTTCCTCTCAGTTCACAGTGAAAAATCTGTCATATGAATATGTTGTGTGGTATAACATGTTCCAGCAAAGCTCCAAAACACTGGTGTTGGGTGCCTGACCTGTTGCTAACTTCCTTCTGCTCAGAAAAGATCTGGAATGCTATGTGGTGATATGTTGAAGGGAAGATAAACACCTAGAGCTCTTGAGGCTAGCAAGTAACCAATGACCCAACAACTGCATATAGAATGTTCTGAGCTCTAGATAAATCCACGTATGTTGTAAGGTCAAAAGATGAGGCTAAGCCAAGAAACGGGGTCCTGGGGTTTGAGTGGTTTTTGGTTTTTTGGGGGGGTTTTTTTGGTTGTTTGTTTTGGTTTTTGTGTGTGGTTTTTTGTGTTGTTTTTTTTTAATTTTTGGTATTTTTTTTTAAAGCCTCCAAGGGGATTGAGTAGTAAGAAAAACAGTGAGGTTGTTTAGAAAACAAACAAGCACAATTAAATGGGTTCTTGTGTACATTTGGTGTGCCTAATGCTGCAGATAACTAAATCAAAATCATAAAGCTGTCATGTTAATGAACATGTTGGTCTTTCAGTTTTCATGTATCTTTCTCTTACATCTCAGTTTTTGCCCTTAATGAATATGATTAAAATGTGGTTTTTTTAGGCAATTAAGATGATCTGGTACAACTGCAGCCTCTAGTTTGCACCAGGCAATTTAATTTTACTCAGACAAGTTTTCCCCTTTATGGAGTTGAAGCTCATATAATGCTCTGATATGTTGAAGGATTTCTAATACTTAGGAAGGCAAATTTTAGTTACAGGTGATGTGAACTAGGAGTCTGCATGTGCTTATTTCTTCCTGGGTCTTTATTCCAAAATGTTTGGCAGCAAATCTTGTGGAAAGTATTGCTTTAAAGAAAAAAAAAGAGTGCTCTGAAATGACACATTTACAAAATTTGTAAAGATGAAGTATCAAAAGCATCAGCTTTGATCTTCAGGAAATATAATGAGACTAAATCTGTTTGTTTTCAGCAAGAGAAATATGCTTTGTAGTTTGCCAGCATTTGCTTTTAATACAAGACCACCAGGTAGTCTTTCTGTGTCGATGGGACAGCTGTGTCAAAGCAAGTCATTGCAGTTACCTGTATTTTTAACAATATGTAGGAAAGTGTGACGCTAATGGGTGTTTTGAAGGAACAGATTGATAGTGTGTTCAGTGTCCCATTGTGTAGTGTTTTCCTTGAGCAAAAACTAGAGAGTTGCTGAGATAGAGGAACTACTTTGAGTGTTCTTTTGAGTGCCATGGTGTCACGATCCGGTATTCGGACACGTGGCAATTTTTCATAAAGGTGATCCCAACTGGTGAAATTAAGACGCAAACGAGGTCAGATGTCACATGCACAACAAACATTTATTAGAGTAACAAAGCAAAGGTCCCTAGAGCGGATAGGACAGGCAGGAAAACAGAGACAGAAAAGAGAGGAGAAAGCAGAGAGATAGAGGACAGCAAGCGAGAGAGCATAGTTACCACCCACGGTGCAGCGATGTCGTCGGTGGGGAAGTGGTTCCTGGTGGAAAAGTACTTCCAATGCACCCATAGAGTCCCAGACTTTTATACAGTTCTTGCCCACTGCCCCCCCACTTTTCTTTCCGGAGTAAGAAAAAACTCCTATCTTCTCTGTGCTCCTCCGAGATAACAAGGGGGGTAGGTATGGCACCAGGTTAAGTCCTGCAGATAGTCTTTGTCTGGATAATTGCTGGGGTCTCTGCATAACGAAGGGGAGGATGAGACGACTGGCACCACAGGTTTAATTTATTGCAGGGGAGTATCCTGCTCTCAAAGCCAGCTGTAGATCTCTTTAGTCCATCAACAAATGTTGTTTCTCAGATGCCACAAGACACACAACAGATATCTTGAGTGTCAGAGTCCATATCTCTTGGATTGTTCGAGACAAACATTGTAAATTCTGAATGCCACACATGGGTAATTGGTTTCCCTCTCCTTAATTTCTTTTAACCTTTATGAAGCTGTCTTCTAACAAGGTGTGCAGTAGGAGTCAGCATTTTAAATTAATTGTGCTTTGGTAATAGTAATATTTCCTTGAATTTTTTTTTCTAGGTGAGGTTTCTTGTCATAAAATGTCATTTATCCCATAACTAAATGCTCTTTGGAGTTCTAGTCTTTATTTTGTAAACTCCTATTAAGAGATACTTGTCTTCTGGTTTTAGCACCTTTTCTAGGTGCCTTGTGAAACAGCACAAATTGAAAATATTCAATGTTCTATTGCTTTTACTAGAACATTTTATCTTAAACATTTAGGAAATAATTTTGTGACTCAGAGCTCAGTTTCTTCATTTATGAATCTGAAAATGCTGCTTCTGAAAGAATCAAACTTAATGCACAATTTTTCTTGTTATCCTTCATCACCAGATTCTCTTTCTGAGGTAGCCTGAAGCTTAACCATGTTGAAAGAAACTACTGTTACCACCAGGAGGCAGAGTGCACTGTGTACGTTATCTGACTGTCATTTGTTGTCAAGAAACATACTCTTTGAGTACTGTTTTGTGTTCGTTGTCTGCTGCTTGTTTTTCCACAGTTAGAAGAACAGGAAAGGAAAATTAAATCCAAACCCAACCTCTGTTTTTAAGGGCTGCATAGAAGGGGTTGGCAGACCTGAACTCTCATTTCTAAAACTGTAACCCCCAATTTTTGTCCACAGTTGTATCCTTTTGCTTGCCTGCAATACAGTGCTCTGCTGACTGGGTGTATGTAAATCTTTCCCAGAGCTGTCAAAGCAAGGCATGCTCAACCAACCTTTGGATTTGTATGTTTGTTCTTCTAAATACCTTGCTCTTTGTTTCTTATTTTAAGTATTTTTTGTTTCACCTGAAGCTTGTAAATCTGGTGGCTGAAGACCTTCATCTGTCTTTTTTTGAGTTGTGTCTTCTAATAAGATTTACAATTTAGAACTTAAAAACATCTTGTGTGCAGTTGTGGCATAACTTCAGGCTCGAATTCTATGGCTTTATAGCTAGTGCAGGGAACTCAATACATCTTCACTTCTGCTTTCTGTAGTAGTCCTTGAGATGCAAGGGTCTTCTGCATGTGGTTGTGAAGAGCCAGGATTCTGACCTAATCAATTAAACTTACTTTAGAGAAAGCCTTTAGTAGCTGCACAGTTGAAGATCTGTCTTAAATATTTCACTGAGTAGTGCTCAACTTGTGCTTTCACTGACAGCCTTGATTCTGAAGAATTTTATCAGTTTTATTTGCATAACTTTTAATTTCATAATTTTCTGCATCATGAAGTGTGAGTTCAGAGCTTCTGTAGAAGCAAAGTTGCAGTAACTGTGTGAGTATGTTTATGAGAAGGCAAAGCTTCGATAAGACTTTATTCTTCAGATAGGTTTTTAATTGGTTACATTTTTGTATGAGTGTAGCTTAATTTTTTTTTAAATCAAATGAATGACTTATTCCTGTGTAATGAGGTTTTGTTATGAAACTGATTAACTTTGAAGGGCAGCTCATGGCATGATAGTTGTGCTCTTAACAACTCAAATCTCTTGTGTCTAAAAACAATTAAAAAAACCCCAAACATAAACCAAACCCTTATTGAAAGAAGCTTTAGATTTTTGCAAGAAGGGAAAATGTTTGCTTAATATAAGCCATGCATTTCTCTGCTTATATTTTGCTGTTTATTGTTGCACGACACCAAAGTTGAATAAGTACAAATTATCCAGGTAAAGCTGAGATAGAAAAATGTTTCTACTAGTTCTGAGCATTTGAAATAGGACATGTTGAAAATTATTCACATGTAATGTATAATTTGAGGAGCACCACCTGCTGCCCCAAAGAGTCCCGAAGCCTTCTGATAGGGAGTGTACATCAAGACCCTTTCATTTCTCTTCCTCCTTCCTCCCATACTACTTTTCTTTTTTCTCTTCAGTTCTGCCTCTCCCCACCCCCATAAGGGTTGTTTGGTGTGGTCCAAGTAGGTTTTGAAGTAAATTTTTGAACAGGAATTGTTATCTCCTAAAACACAATAGGCTGACTAAACGATAGGTGTTAGGCCTTCTTTCCTTGGTGGCTATGATGCTTCATGTATCTTATTGTAGGAATAAATATAAAAATGGCTTCACAGATTATAGTTGCTTATGTATGCCTTTGAGAAGACAAGTTTTGTCTCAGATGGCTCAAAATTCTTGCTAATATTGCTAATCAGTTAGTTCTGTGCATTTAGGAAACAAAGCAGGTAGCCTCTAGAACTACTTGGTTTCATCCCATTTATTTTTAAATAGGAAAAGAAGTAGGCAGCCAGCCTGAATTTGGTGTAAGTGATGTTTCCTGAGAACTTGTGGTAGAGTAAATGACTGGTAAATGCAACCTTGCAGTGATTGCTTACTCTACAGTTTGCAGAAATTAACAGAAGAGAGGAGGACAAGAAATGTTGTCACTAATGTAAATAGATCCAAGGGGTAATGCATCTTTCATATGTAGCTTGTTGAAGAGTTTATCTTCAGCTTGCTTGTTGAGTTTCCTGAGTGAAAGATACCAGGCAAATGGAAATTTAAAGTACTAATACTAAATACCTAATCTTTTAAAAGTGCTTAAAAGGAGGTCACAGTGCTTAAAAAGCAAAAACTAACAAAAGCTTTTTTTTTTCCTTTCCCTTTGGTGATAGTTGAAATGCTAACATTAATCTTGACTGTTCCCTATAAAGTTCATAAGAGATCATTGTGAACTTGAAAGAAAGAATGCCTGAGATCAGGGAGGTCGGTGTTGTGTGTGTATGTACCTAGCCACATATATGTTTCTGGCTTTGTGTTTCTAAATGCAGGTGTAACAAGTGTAAATTAAAGCATTAATTACACTGTAGTTTAAAGTTGTCATTCCTCTTGCTTGATGCAAGTTGATTGCTTTTATAATTTGCATAAACACATTGAAGATTATGTTCTCTGGGAATTAGTGTGGTAAATAATGTAAGTATTTTGTGGGTGTCTTTTGGAAAATGTAATTTATTAAAGTGTGTCATATTTCATGCTTTAAAATATTACTCTTGGAAAAAAAAGTCTGGAATAAACCATAGAAAAAAGTAGATTTGCTTTTGGTACCAACTTTGTAGAATGTTTCAATGTCACGTTAATTTCTTCTGAAATCACAACCTTCTTTTCTGTGTTCTTTTTAAAATCACTTGCAGAAGTTTTATAAAGCAGACTCTTCTCTAAATGTTATTTATAGCTGCCTTATGTTGTGTATGCAAATCTACTGCCTAGAAGCAGTAGAAATGTTCTTTCAGTGATGTCTTTGTATTTACCACTTGCTTACCTTGGATTCAACTGCGTAAGTGCTGTAGAGCAAAAAGTAATGGATGCTGGTAATGTGCTCTCATCCCTAACAGTGGTGTGACCCATCCACATGCTGAGCTGTTATGTCTTATGGTACAACTTTGTTATCATTTGGTATTTCAAGTGAAAGGTCATGGTAGCCGACCAGACTTGAAAGCCTAATCAATATAATGCCCAGTAGATGGCTCCATCTGGAATAATATACTGGCATTGCAAGTATTCAAGTGAGCAGTAACTTATAGAATCATTAAGGTTGGAAAAGACCTCTAAGATCATCAAGTTCAACCATCAACCCAACATCACCATGCCCACTAAACCATGTCATGAAGTCCCATGTCTACACACTTTTTGAACACCTGCAGGGATGGTGACTCCACCAGTTCCCTGGGCAGCCTCTTCCAGTGCTACTCTTTCAGTAAAGACATTTTTTCTAATATCCAATCTAAACGTCCCCTGGTACAACTTGAGGCCATTTACTCTCATCCTATGGTGGGTTACTTTGGAGAAGAGACCACTGCCCTTTCAGGCAGTTGTGGAGAGTGGTAAGTCTTCCCTCAGGCTCCTCTTCTTTGGACTAAACAATCCCAGTTCCCTCAGCTGCTCCTTGTAAGACAGAGAGAGAGAAAGAATAGTTACAACAGATCACCTAAAGCTAATATATGATATCCCAAGAACATGGGGAGTCTTCAGTACTGCAGCTGTTTGGCTACTATGCCTTCATTGGCCCTTCCAACTCAAGCTGAGACTTCAAGAATAAGTTTCTGTTGCACCTCAATAGCTCTAGAGGGAGTTGTAGCTATGTAAGTTATCCACTGAGTAAGATTCATGATGTATGACATCAGTAAATTGTGTACCTGTTGGAGGTCTGAAACTGAAAGCTGATGGTGAATCCTGAAAGTAGGTCTTGCATTCTGTATGAAGTTAAAACATTCAAAGCTCCTCTTCAGGTAACCACAGAAAAATTAGTTTTCCCTGATGAGTAATGTCTTTCTTACCCACTTCTCATGTTCAGATGGAACAGTCATTTCTGAATATATATTTGTCTTTTGCAGGAAGAATCCCATTCACTTTCAGCAATTCAGTCACCCTAATGATGATGACTATCATGAAACTGAGGTGGTAACTCAGGATAAGGATGATAACCGGCCTGAGTGTCCATATGGAACAGCCTGTTATAGGTAAGGAGCACTGTACAAAGTGGCTTGTCTTGTTTTATAGGTTAAAACTTCTTCCCCTGGTGTTCCAAAGAGACAACAGAATACTGAGTAATTCTTGATGTTCAGTCTTGGGTGCAGCAATATCATTATGGCTCTTTTTGAAGTTTCATTGCCTTCTGAAATTGGCTGTGGACAGAGTGCTACCTTTAGAGCACCAAAGTCTGTGCAAAATATTTGTTAGTGATTTCAGCTGCCAAACATTAAAACTTGACTTGTGGAACCTGTTCAGTGACCTAGAGATCAACAGTTTTTCAATTACCAACATGTAAAAAACTTTTCTTTTTTATATAAACAATAATTTATTGTTACATGTTAGTGTTGATATTTAACTTAAAGTTTTGGTAAAGTCCTTCTTGAGATTTTCTACACAACCTCTCTTTTAATCAGTCTTTGATTTGTTAGAAAGCATAAAATCCAGTTTATGTACTGTTGATTTTCTTCTGCAGATGGCTTTTTTCCATTTGTTTCTGCATGTCTAGGTTTTAGACTTTTATTTAGCAGAATTTAATGACTGCTATGTAATTGACACAATGGAAAGATGTATTTTCAGGCAATAGCACTTCTGTGGGGATATACTGTAACAGATGGCTGCTGTTACTACAGATTTTGCTTGAGCAGAAACATTTGCTCCTCTCCTGGAAAGCGTGGTGATCTTAGCCTGTACGCTAGGAAATGTAACAAAATGAGGGTAGATTTTAAGAAAAAGCCATGTCACTTTCAGCTAATGCAAAAGTGTTTCTCTTCTGAGAAATATTTCTGAAATTCATTTCTCATCTCCAGATGAGAAATCTAGGTTTATTCTAGTAATGAAATTGCCAACATACTTTCCAGGAGTACAGTGGTGCTTTATCCAAAACCAGAATTCTCTCTCTTTCCAGATAAGACAAATTTCTGTGCTGTATTAGTTGATAATTTCTTAATCTGCATTTTATTCTTTGGGGTTAGAGGCACAAAGCAATGATAATTCTTTCAGCAAAGCAGCAGGTGTCATTTGTAGGGTTTTCAGGTTATTTTTCTTGTCTTTATGTGTTGGCTATTACTTGAAGGAAGCATAATTGAATGATCTGAATGCTGCACCTGGAGTTGATGGTCTGATGCTGACAGTAGTAGTAAAACATAGAAATAGGCAATTCTTTTTGTTTCAGTACAGTGTATTTAACAAGAAGCTGTGCTTCTGTTTTTTATTCAGATAACTATCACTTCTAATGCACACATAATGTACTTTGGGATAGCAGTAGCTATCGAATTGCAAATCAACTTGAAGTGTGTGAATCTGTTACAAGCTATTTGACATAAAAATGAGATTTTTCTACTGAAGAATAACTATATTCTAGTTTTGAAGAATATAAAAACATAAATAGGCAACCATTTTACCAGGTAGTCTTCACAGCAAGGGTATTTTGTAAAAGGTACAAAAACTTGTGCAGTTGCAGAAATTAATCTCCAGTTTCAAGCAATATCATAATGGTAAGTCATTCTTGTATAGTGGGCTTTAATTGTTGCTTATTTTCAGAAGCAGAAATTAGGACAACTGAATTGGTTTTCTTCCAAAGGTACACATTTTCTTAATTTTCTGCGCAAAAAGAAATTGGGTTGAAACCATTTTAACCTGCAGCCCTGAAAAAGCTTCTGATACACTAACATGACAGATGAGCAAATGTAATTTCGACCAAGCTTAAACATTAGAGCAGCATTTGGTAGCTGTTTGGAGCAAGGGTAATAAGTCTGTGTTAATGACCTGTACTGAATGAGGGGAACATGTATTGCAGATCCAAGAATAAGCTGACTTATATTTTCCTTTCATTGCTTGGATGCTGTTTTTTAATAGGATACAAACACTTGTCAGCTGAACTTGGTGGATTGTAGCAGCATAGTACAGATATAAGTAATTTCTCTGAAGAATCCTCCTGTAGATCTCCCTGTGATCCTTCAAGACAAGTATTTCTTTCCAAATTCTTTAGTTTTCCCAAAGTAATTAACTTGTAGCCTTACATTGCAGAATATGGAAGCTCTGCCAGGTTATCTTAGACCTATGATGCACTGTGCACACATTGTACTTACTGCATCAGAAGGTACATTTTGGTTTAATTTTTAGTGAGAGGAAATAGTTGGATCGGTTCTTATCATGCTGAACAAATGCATTTCATCTTACATTTTTGGAAACTGTCTCATCTCTTGGTTTTGATCAGCCATCCTTTTTTTAAATAATGAAACAAGAGGAATTTGTATTTATATTTTTCCACCCTATGTTCTGTAAGCTGAGACACTGCAGTAAGACACTGGTCACAGAATTTTATTTTAAAAATAACTGAAAATTATCCATAAAATACCAAGGGGTTCTGGGCTGGTGAAGTGTGGAACAGGGTGACGAATCAAGCTTTTACTGTTTTCTTCTTTGCAGGAAGAATCCACAGCACAAGCTAGAATACAAGCACAGTGCACCTCCAGGTAAGCCAAATTGTTCAGTATAGCTCAAAGTGTATGTAGG